TTTCTATAAGTTTGATAAAAAAAATTGACTTGATATAACTTTAGTTATAGGAACTAAACATGGCCATCGGGGCAAAGCTGGGCAAATTCATGGATAAAGTCATACTCATACCGAGGAGACCATTAAGTGGTTCAAATCATAGTGATGGAAAATATGCATGCCTATGCCCTATACAATGGTTGGCAACTTATGCCCGTAGTGACATTCAAACCATCAACTTTCCCATAGAAGGGGAATAATCTACCATATATAAAGAAAATGAATCTGTATCCTAGAATAGCGATGTGCACAACATATATGATTGAGCCTCTGTCTTCCACTTGTAGTCGGTGAAGACTTGCTGAACAACCGGTCATTCATCCTTGTTGAACAACATAACCTGCACTGGAACATTATGACGTCAGATATCATACATATGTTGACAGGTCCAAGTAAATGCATCCTTCTCAAGTGAAATAATTTTTAGAAAAGGATTGCACTCAATGTTCAGATGCTTAGTGCTGATTCAACATGGACTCGTGAACTTTTGTTATCAAATCAAGTTGTCAAATATATGAAGTACATCTCCCAATATATCAAGACATTTGCATTTAATTTCACAGCTAAAAGATGAGTCACAAGAAATGGTCAAATACAGTGAGGTAGATGGTGAAACTATCACACAAAGTCAACGACCGTATTAACAAAAGAAATTAAGAATTAAGAAAGCAACATACCCTACTAATCTGATAGATTTTGAAGAATCAAGAACCGTAAACAGAACTATCCACACTTGTTAACATTTGCTAACAGGAAGATAGCTACAATAGTTCAACATTAACATATTTATGCTTATGGTGCTGTCCAAATGAAAAATCCACGCTAGCTCATTTTTGCGAGACAAACATAACAAATGATGATAGAGGAAATTGTTATACATTATAACACCCATAGTGAGCATGCCGTGGACTGAATAAATCTGAGGTCTGAAAAATGTACAACTTTTGGAGTAGAAAACTTATAGTATATATACTGACACCCATGATGAACTGTGGGGCCCCAAGGGAAAGCAAAATCTTTTGAGTCTTTTATAATAGCATACAGGGAGAAGACTCAAAATCTTTTCAGCACGCTGGTCCTTCCCATTGATCCATTTATCACGAACTCTGTTTATCACAAACGACACGAAGTACAGACTACAGAAAGTAAGAAACGAGGAAAAAAACATACTAGAGCAACAAATGATAAATTTCTATCGACTCAAGTGCTCCCACAATGCAACTACTGAGGAATGAAAACACAACTCATTATAGCCTGCAATAGCAAATGCATGTGACTTCACTAATAAAAATGTCACTATAACACTAACAGAAATACAACACAGGGAGCAGCAACATCAAAATGCTCACAGATTCTAGCAACGAGGAGAGGATAATCTACACCAGGAAGATCCTTAGCAAGCAAGTCAATCATCCACAACATAGAGAATTGTGGATTGATTGTTTTATAAAAGATAGATTGAACATAGACTTGAAAAAACATACCATTTAATAGCTAAACCAGAAACACCTGAAGCATCTTACAGATATTCCAGTTTCCAGTGGTGCCTAAACAATTTGGAAACAGAAGTCTTGCGCAGGCAAAGAAATCTGTGCCAAACCATATGGGCCACAGACACTATATATGGAACCTAACATCCAGATATTTTTCTGTTTGAAAACTTAATATTTCAGATTTCAAAAACTTATACATGCACAATTAAGGAATTACAACATTAAAGATGCTAAATCAAAGATAGGATCGGAAAGGGGAGGGCATGTACCTTGAGCAAGGAGAGCAGCAACACCTGTAAGGAAGTAAACACTAAACAGACTTGAAGAATGGGTTAGAAAATTAAATGCACCTGGGGCCAGCAAGCAAAAACATACCGCACGCACAGGGGACCAAGACTAACACGTCTCCAACTCCTGAGGAGGTGGAGCTGCTGCGCTGCCACCGCCGCCGCCATCAGTAATGCATTGGGGCCACCATTCCTGTCCTATCGTCGAAGCTAAAATCCAGTATCCAGCAGCTTGTTAGTCTCAGCAAACACACCTTCCACTGGAATGGCATCTTCTTCCACCAAAAAACCAAACTGATGAATTTCGTGTTAACTTTGTCCTACATGACAGAAGCTGTAAAGCTAAAAAAATCCAAGCAGCTTGTTAGTTTTACTCCAACTAAGTACCACAACTGTTCAGGAGCCAAGGTAAAGTTGTCTTAGAGGGGGCTCAATTGTCCTACTCGTGTACTGCAACAGTTCTCCAATCAAGTTAAATCTCCCAGGTCATCATTTGGGCATATATAGTATCCACAGGCTTCGATTCAACATATTCACCATATGGTTTTTCCGTACTTGATTCGTATCATTTACTTCCACTGCAAAAATTGAAACACACATTGGCCTCCTCAATTCCCAGTATCACACATCCGCACTCAGCTTACCACAATACGTACATCCCTTTGAATTTTCATCGAGCTCTTCTTTCAAATCAATCGCAATCGAATTTTCTTATTCTTAACCAAATAACATTGTAAAAAATTGTTTTTTTTCAGAATTAAGCCATCTTGATCAACCAAGAGCACCCTACACCATCATTCTCCTAGGCACCAAAAAAGAAAAATCCTTGGCAACCACCATTCACAAAACAAGAAAATGCTTCCATAAACAAAATTATTGACGCCTTACATCTGTATTACGTAGCCGATGGTCACAAAATGTGAATTCCTGGCATGTGAGTATCATCCAACAAAATCAGGCCATGGTGTGAATCTATGATCAATTTCCTACTCTGTTCAGCCAATACAGCATGCCCTAACTCCTCCTAAAAGAGCAAGAAGAAACACTCAGCAGACTAGCTAACAAGTTCCCCAATTTGTTACAAGCCGCCATTAACCAGGTGCCCTGCAATGCCTCAGCAAAAGCAGTACAGGTATGGACTGACTGCACTGAATAGATCTTAGCAAACCAAATCATTGCTTGCCAATGCCATTTGATTGCTCATGTTATTACTTGGGCACAATATGATACATGTCTCAAGCTTCTATCTTCTCGTAGAAAAGGAAAGCCTCGCACTTGAGAACTTGGTCCTAGAGAGACTTCTCTGATGCTTTTATCAATTGCACGAAAACCAAGAGGAAGAGCCACTGCTCGTCTCCTGCTTGCTGAAAATCCTGCTTCCTCTCACATAAGCAACAAAGTGCCCCGCTTGTTACGGTTCTTCTCCGCGATGCTCAATGACACCAACTAGACAATATCTGGCATTATCTTTGTCCCCGGACCTAAAGGTTTGCAAAATAATAATTCAAAAGACCAAGCAAACAAAATGTTAGATTAGCTATCAACATCACTAACAAGAAAATACTATCAGATTAACAGTTTTGCCATATATCAAGTGACAAGCTGATTCCAAAACATAAAACAGAATTAGTGTCACACAGTACAATTGTATTAGTAGTCAGTTCATTTCATTTTTTATGTGCACAAAAAGGGAAAATAAAATCCTTAGCTGTTCCATTTTGAAGAAAGGGATCACATAGCCATTGGCACATGTCGCATATCGCCTCTGAGACCCAAGACCAGGCCAATCACCACGATTCAATTAGACTTTCCCAACCAGCATGCAATTTTAGTACTAGATGCAAATTGTCCCATTTTCATAGTACAGTCAGATGCTAAAAAAAGCATAACTCAACTATTATAGAAATCTTTGTTATGTACCATTTTTTACAAAATTTTATGACCTTTTTCAATACTACTGCTATTTTTGTGCATATACTACAGAGGTCACACTTGGGTCATCAGAAGTGACAAAAACCCAGCAGAAACAACAAAGGAAACAAAACAAACCCAAGTAGCACGAGACAAAGTGATAAATTATTAAGAACTCAAACAAATTTATTTCTAGCACTACTCCAGGACAGACAATGGCAACTAGAAATTCTTTTATCTTTTATAGACATATAAGCACCTCCTGAATCATCAAAATTGAAACATCCAATGTAAACAACTCTTTTGAACTAAATACCATATCTTCTTCAATCTTTCCTAAAGATACTGAACAAACTATGAAATAAAAAAGTAGCTATTGCAAATGAGAAACTTCAAACTGCACAAAAGCAATAACTATTGCAGTTAAAAACTTCGAACTTGGGTCTTCTCCACTTGGTTTGCAGTATTTTTCCGGATCTACTTGTTGTGTTCTATCCTGATTTAGTGCGCTGGCATTTTTGTTATCCACTCAACAGGTTGCTCTTTTACTCCACTTTTCCGTGATGGTCACGTTCAGCTCAGGCCATCAAGTGATGAGCTTCCACTGATGTTTGCCACCATCTGTCCTTTATCTTTGCTTCGACTGGTGGGGCAAGAGAAAGCAAAATCTTTTCTGCACGCTGGTCCTTCCCATTGATCCCTTCATCACAAAGCCTGTTTATCACAAATGAAATGAACACAAAATACAGAAAGTAAGAAACATGGAAAAAACATACTAGAACAATTAATAAATTTGCATCCACTGAAGTGCTCCCACAATGCAACTACTGAAGTATAAACACATTGTGGATTCATTGTTTTATAAAAGATAGATTGAGCATAGACTTGAAAAACATACCATTTAATAATAAACCAGAAGAACCTGAAGCATCTTCGCCTAAACAAATTGAAAACAGATTGTCTAGCGCAAGCAGCGAAATCTGCAACAAATCATATGGGCCACAGACTAACTATACTATATATGGAACCTAAAATCAAGATATTTTCTGTTTCAAAACTTAATATTTCAGATACTTGTAGCTGCATAATTAAGCAATACGTCATTAAAAGTGCTGAATCAAAGATTGGGCCGGAAAGGGGAGGGCATGTACCTTGAGCAAGTAGAGCAGCAACACCTCTAAGTAAGCAACTAAAACAGAGACTTGAAGAACGGGTTAGAAAACGCACCTGGCGCCAGCAATCAAATACATACCGAACGCACCGACCAAACCTAGCACATGTCCATCTCTGGAGGTGGAGGCGGGAGCTGCACCACTGCCGCTGCCAGCTGCTGCTGTGGCGGATCGAACTTCAAGGCATACAACCCATACAAGTAGTAACCGATGTCCACGCTCGTCATGAGCGCCATGGCGGCCAAGCCAAGGTACACCCAGATGCGGAAGATCGGTATCCAGAAGCGGGCCACCTCGGGGTCTGTAGTGAAGGAGAGGACCTTAACGATGCAGAGCACAATGTGGAGCCCGATCATCGCCATGCCCCAGGGGCGGCCCATGCCGCTGAACACGCAGGACACAGCGTACGGAAAAAGCAGCTTCACCATGTAGTAGACGATGTCCACGCACGTCATGAGCACCATGGAGGCGATGCCGAGGTACACCCAGACGCGGAAGATAGGTATCCAGAAGCGGGCCAGCTCGGGATCTGTAGTGAAGGAGAGTACCTTGACGATGCAGAGCACAATGTGGAGCCCGACCATAGCCATGCCCCAGGCGCGGCCCATGCCGCCGAACACGCAGTTCACGGCATACGGAAATAGCAGCTTCATCTTCAACGGCGGCGAGGGACGCTTCTCATCCTCCGCCGCCGCGGGTAGGGCCAGAGGTGGGTTCAGCATCGCAACAGGAGCCGAGGGGACGACGACTCGAGAGGAGCGGGTATCGAGCGAGGAGGGAGGAGCACCTGCGGACATCGGGCGAGGGCCGAGGGGCACCTGCGGCCTCGCCGGAATCGATCGAGGGAGCCGCCGGATCGAGATCGCGAAGCGCGCGCGGAGCTGTTGTCGGGAGATCGAGATCGGGATGCGGGAATGGAAAACTCTAGGGATCGATTGCTCTGGGGGGGGGAGGCGACGCCAACGCGCAAGGGTTTTATTGCCCGGGAAGATGAGTCGCAGAGTCGGTTTCGTGGAATTCTGGTGTCGCATATCCCTCACGCCGTCACGCGCCAACCTGGAGGAAGAAGAAGAGTCGGAATCAGATGCTCGGCCTCCCGCCGCCTCTCCGGCGCTGGTTTTTTCGTTATAATACCGACTTTACCCTTGAGCTCTTTTTTAATAACAAAAATAAATAAAAAATAGGAATTTTCATTACTACCGTCTTTACCCTTTGAGCCTTGATGACAAAAATAAAATAAAATAAATGGGTGCATTGGTGTAAGCTTCACGCAAAAACAAAAAATACATTGTGTATTGATTCAAACCCAAAAATAAATCTTCGTTTGGCATATTGATGTCAAGAATAGCTCGATATATTGATTCCGAGCTCGTAAGAGTTGTTCTGCAAGCATCATACAATGGTCTAGTATTTTTTTAGGAATTTTTAAAAAAAATGCATAGTGTAAAGGAAAATGATATATAAAATACATTTGTAAGGACAAATTAATTTTCAACCTCTGTCTCTTTAGCGTCCTTCGCTGCCGCGGTTTTGTGATCACCATGGTCCCCCTTGGGGCAACTTCGTTGGCTATAAAAAGAGCAGGGACCTTCCTCCGTAGTCTAAGTCCAGTAGTTTTTAGGGTTTTATATTAAATTGAATAAAGTTTGTCCCATCCATCTCATGGGCTACTGACTGGTATCATCGTTTTTGATTGCTTGATAGATCTCTTATTTATCACAAATAATATGTTTAGTGCAGGTGTTGTTCTAATCATCCAATCCGGTGTTTTTCTAGTTGATTTTGTTTTTGCAAGGACGATGCAATTGGAGGGATAATCGAGTTCTTGTTTGTATCTTTGTGTTACCATCTCGTTGGATTTAAATCTTGGCATCTCGCGATGGCCAAACGTGTATCCAGGCTTCTAGATCAAGCATTGCTGGTATTGGCAATTGATATTCTCTCAATGTGTCTGATGAGTGGGTTGATGCTCGTTCTATGGATTAAGTAACAACTATATCGCTTTATTTCAGATGAATAGGATCTGTCACATAACTACACGAACCTCATGTCAATTCCACTACTTCTAAACTTGTTCATCTTCCAAAGTATTTCAAAGTTCCTATTGTTTTTCTTTTCCCACTGGCATGGTTTTGCCCGAGCGTCCAAGGTGCATGGGGTTGGATCGGATGTAGATCACTTGTTCAAGATGATGCTTCCATTACAAAATTGGTCAGGGTTCAGAAAACAAACTAGTTGGTCATTGCGTATACCAACACTTATTAGGACTACTTCCTCCGTCCCACAATAAAAGATGTGATAGTATTCAAAATGTGTCTAAAAAAGAATAACGTTTGGTGAAGGTACTGTGAGAAAAAAAAACAAAAAAAAAAGAGAAAATAAGACAGATCAGAATACGAGAAAAAGAAAATCTAGAAAAAATATAGAAGATAGATATGGATGAAGAAAGTCACACCCGAAAGAAAAGATAGATTAAATTGAAGGTGTTGAAATATGTATTTATATATCTAGTCCAAACTATAAATAAAGTTAAAAATTATCCAAATAAGTGGTGGAGCCCAAGGCTTTTAGAAGCTTAGCGATTCTCATCATGCAAAAATATTTACCTAGCAAATTACAGTGTTCTTTGATATAAAGAAAATTTTCTTTTGAGCTTTGCCGACGAGCCTGGCCAGTTGCATGGGGTGGCCTGTCGGTGGCTCCGTACTGGTCTAAATGCTCTCAATGTATCTTCAGCTATAGGTCTACTAGGATTTTCTTGAGCTATGAATATCTAGCTCCAAAAAACCCATGAGAGACTCAACTTCCAAACCCACGAAATATTGTTTGGTGTAAAAATGCTCCACTAGCCTGGCCCTTAACATCGTCTCCCCCTTGGGAATCCTGTTTCTTGCTTCTACAGTACAAATTAGGAAAACTCATTGGCCCACGTTGGTTTTTATTAATTCAGTTGGTTGTAATATTTAGGGCTTCAGTTGCTTGTAATATTTAGACTTTGTTTAGGACTGCTCTGCTCCACTGAACCAATTCTATTCTATTATGGAACATTTCCACTCTAGAGTTACAATTGCACTGTGGAGGAAAGGTGGATCAGACATATTGTCATGAAGTCTTGCTCCAGCTCCAGGAATGCAAGGCTTTCCTGTGAATGACCTAATATGCCCTTGGATGATCTGTGTAGTGCATAATTTGAAATATGTAAGCATGTGTGGGTGAATGTATTTCTTTTTTACGAGTTGAAAATCCCATTTTTTAACATATGAATAAATGTCATACTGGTACAGGTGTCCATGTAGTTCATGTCACGTGAAATATAGATCACAGTGTCAATTTGCTGGCCCAAAAGCTTGGAAAACCAATAGTAATTTTGCAAATAATGATCAAACCAACACCCCGTGCATTCAAGAAAGGAGTATGTTTCACGGCTGCTGAATTTTTTGTTGACATCGGGGGGCAACCATAATGCAAAAAATATAGATACAAAATTCAGGGAAACTTAAATTCAGAACTGATCAATGATAAACAGGTCATGATGTTTGTCAAAAGCATTCTGTAGATGCTTAAATAGACATTACGGTAAGATAAAAGTTACTAAGCAAATTCAGATCAGTAGCTAAATGACATTCTCTGTTGAATACATGTATTGATTCATAGGTGCAGGTCGATCCTCTCAAGCTCCAGAGTGATGACACAAGGATACAGACACAAACCAATCCATCAAGACGTTAGTTTTTACAGGCTCAGCAATGTGATGACAGGGCACAATGAGGCGTTTTTCCTGGCAGCAATGCAAATCAAATCAAAGAATGGCACAGTACAGAGCAATGGGGGAGAGGAACAATAATTTTTCACCTTCAAAGGAAGGAAGCAATTGATGGAACCTTGTACTCATCAAAATACTGATCGCTGTGGGTCATCATCCAAGCCGTGCAGCGGATCATTGCATTGCCCACGGTTACCAGCTGACATGCATATATACCTATACAGCAACGTGTTGATCACTGCCGATTGAGAAAAATTACCCATGGCCACCTACTCTAGATTCATGATTGGTGTCCATAATAACTCCATATACAAGAACTACTTATTTCATATAAATACTTGCATATGGACACACAAATTGTGAATCTGTGGTAGGTACCATAGGTGCTCTCACTGAATTTTTTTCTCAGCCGATCACGCCTCTCAAGAGCTATTACGCCAGCCACAGTGAAGTCTGATTAATTCTTGATATAACATCTCACACGTTAACTTACTCCCATAGTGAAAGTTTCACTGATAACACACCAGAGTAGCGGAAAAGAAAGAAACAAGACTGCAGCAATATACTGACGTCTGTAAAGAAAGAAGAGTACAGCAAAATACTACTCATTGTTGAATATCCACGCACCGCATCCCTCGCTCAACAACCACACAGGCAGAGCACCACATGGATGGTCGCCTCCTTCTGAATGCCATAGTCTCCAAGAGTGCGGTCATCATCCAGCTGCTTGCCAGCAAAGATGAGGCGTTGCTGTTTAGGCGGAATGCCATCCTTCTTATAGATCATCATCTTGACATTGCCGATGGTGTCTGTGCTGTTCACCTCTAGAGTTAGGATCTTTCCAGTCATCGTCTTCGCAAAGATCTGCATTGTACCTCTTGGAGACGAGTGGAGGACAAGGAGAACGGTGTCTTCCTTGCAAATGTTGTGGTCCGCCAAGGTGCTGTTGTCCTCTAGCTGTTTGTTGTCAAAGAGGAGGCACTGTTGATGCTTGGAGAAGCCCTCCGTCGATTCAATCTTGTCCTTCACCTTACCAATAGTATCTGAGCTGTCAACCTCAACAGTGATGGTCGTGCCTAATAGCGTCTCCAATACATAGATTTGCATCTTCTCTTCAAGGTCAAGCGTGGATCTGTGCTGGATGTTGTAATCAGCCAACGTAAGGTTATCCTCTAGCTGCACTCCATCAAAGACAAGGCGGTATTGTTCCAGTTCACTCAGTTCCGTACATCGAAGAGATAGTAACGTTAATATGCATGCATGTGCACTCCTTTAACTGTACAATTTCTAGTATTGGAATAGAATTTGACGACCGGCGAATGCCACATAATTAGTCAAGAAGACTCTAATATTAGAGCAGCTAATGCACACTTCAAAGTTTCTCGAATGCATCTATCAAATTGGAAAAACAGAATATGCATCCTACAATTTCCAGCAGCAACAAAAAGTAACAGCACATATATTCTTCTTTATTATAGTCGTGTTTTTTATTTAGCCTGTTTATATAGAGCTATAATTAGCAAAACTTCAACAACTCAAACAGGTAGTAGAAGAAAGAAGATAGATCTACAGTGACAAAGATTGAACAATATATAATATAACAAGACTTTCTAGTATTGGAATAGAATTTGACAACCAGCGAATGCCACATAATTAGCCAACAAGACTAACGTTACAGAAGCTAGTGCCCACTTGTAAGTTTCTATGAAATGCATCTATGAAATTGAATAACAGAATATCTCACAGTTTGGACCACCAACTAAAAGTAACAGCACATATATATTCTGTATAGTCTTGATATTATTTAGGCTATATAGAGCAATAGGCAAAATGTCAACAACTCAAACACAGGTAGTAGAAGAAAGAAGATAGATCTACAGTCACAAATTTGCCGCCTGTAGAGATCCAGCAGATCCAGCAGGTAGTAGAAGAAATTAAAGAAGATAGATCAAACTAACCAATCCTAAGATCCAACAGACGATATGAGATTGGAACGTACAAATTTCCTGCCAATACTCCCGGCCCGTAATCCTAGCTGATACTGACTGTAGGCATAGAGGTCACCGACACAAAGGAATATGACAGAGACTGCTAGTAGTAGATCGCGATAGGGCAAAAAAACAACCGGTCGCGCGTACCTTGAAGTCGACGAAGATGTTGGCTGCTAGCAAGGATCGGTGGGCCTTTTTGCTTTCCGCCGGAGAGCGCAACCGCAAGCGCAAGCGTTTAGGGTTGATGGAGAAGGATAGATTCATAGGTTATCTATATCTTCTTCCGATCCGAAAGGGATTCTGCCCCGTCCACTAAGGCCACGTTCGGTCGAAGGGGAACGACTCTGGAAATATTCCAGCTTGGATTCGTTGTCTAATTTGAATAAGTTTTGTCAACCAGAATTATTTCTGGCCTGATTTGAGCTAAACCGAACGAGCCCTAAAGCGGGCCGATATTGGCCGGTTTATTTATTTTTTTCACGACGAGACGGGAGCCCCGAGCCCGCCACTCCACTCCACCGCCGCCCCTTATCCGTGCCATCCTGGATTCTCAATCTCTTGCCAAAAGACGAGTAGGTGCTCTACACTGATTCCTCCTGACCATTGCCTGATACTGATAGCCACGATCTTGACCTCGCTCTGCCCCAACGACCCGGGCCGGAAAAGGCGCTAGGTCTCTCTGCGCTGTAGCTAGGTCTTCTGCCCAATCCGACCAACCGGCTGTATCCAGTCACAGGACAGGACTTCTAGAGTTTAATCCTCACATGCATGCCTTGTCATCTCAGTGCTCATTAGTCCTTCATCGACCCCTCCTGACTTCTATTTGGTTAAAGTTTATACCTTTTATCTTTATCTCTTTGCAACTATGCTGCTTGTCATCTCAGATTGTCTGGTTGAGATTTTTCTTCCCATGTAATCTGAATTACGGTTCTCAAAGTCAAATAGTATATTTGTTATCGGCTTTTGGCACTTTCCAAAGCCAAAGCCAAAAAGCCGCAAACAGGGCCTCACCGGAGATTTTTCTTCCCATGTAATCTGAATTACGGTTCTCAAAGTCAAATAGTATATTTGTTATCGGCTCCACTTTCCAGCCGCACAACCGGTCTGTTCGGCTGGTCTAGTTTTCAGCCGGCTGAGCTAGTTTTGCTACAGCAGCCCACCAGCTAAGCAGCTGCGAACCAGCCGAAGCAGGCACCTCCGGCCGTTCACAGCCACTCCTATTTGAATGCAACTCAAATTTAAAAAATGACACCAAATGCAATGAATGAAGTGCAAACTGGCGCCACAACAACAGCTGTACACATTCAGACTATCACAAGGCCTTATAAACATTTATCACAGTTCATACACACTTAATTAACTAACTAATTTTGTAACAACTTCATGCACAAACCGACCAGCAGCGCATGTACAGTAGACACGCCATTGCCACTTCCAACCAACAGTTCACAAACAAGTTATTACAGTCCTTTACAACATTCGACACAACAACTTCATAGAGCATACCAATACCTATATATTGGACCAGTCCATGGTTATACAATTACGCATACATGCAACATTTACAAAACTTGTAGCCTTCATGAAGCAACTACAGCTCTTACCTCCTTGACAGAGAATTAGCAGTGGGCACATTTACAAAACTTGCTGCCCCTATAAGCCACTTAATTAACTGGTAGAAGAAGTGTCACAAAATCAGACTTCTGCTACGCATTTGCCCATTACAGCAGGTCATAAACAATTGTTTTCAAATCACAACAGTCATCTATATCTAATTGGGTGCTTACGTGGAACAACAATACACAAGTTGTACCTCCTTTAAGGTACTTCACACAGTGAGCAGATGAAGCCCAAATGGTGAAAATGCACATACAAACTTGAACCCTCTCCTTCATGCCACCGGCTGCTCCCTAGAGACCCAATCTCCCCCAGTACCAAATGACCTAAGTGGCATCTATACAAAATTTGTACCCTTTTCTAGGCACATAAGAGTGAGCATGAAGGCAGTTCCCATGCAAAAGCCACTCACCCAACCATCAATGGGTACATCACCTTTCCACAATCATTGTCCCCACAGTCCCAAAGATATGAACTCCCTAACCACAGACATACTGTTACTAGCATTGAGCTGAACCCAGGGAGACGGTGGGTAGGTTGTGGATCGTAAACCATGCTCCCTAATGAATAAGTAATTATGGAGTGCAAAGCAAGAAATTATAATCATCTTTTACTTGGTCCTATGGCAGTATGGTACCCCATCAAGAATCTACCACCGGTTTTTTAAACCCCAAATAACCGTTCTACAACATTGCGTAGCCTAGAATGAGTCAAGTTAAATTTCTTCTATCGAGACATAGTCTCTATAGGTATACCCCTAAAATCATCCAGATGGTACCTTATATTTCTAAAAGGACCCATGTATCCTGACTCCAGTGCGTAACCAGCGTCCACCAGATAGTAGCGGCCTGCAACACGTGAACCAATTGCACAATTAGGTTTTATGGACTGTACAAGCTACAGAAACAATGTAACACATGATTCATTGGCAGTTCTCACTCACCGATTGGTGGATGCGGTAAGTTTGGTTCCTCCCAACATTCTTTGAGAATCGACATGTCATGCACCGAACCCGCCATCCCCACACTGACATACGTGAAGCGCCTATAAATGTCGACAATGGCACAGACATTCATAGTTACATCTCCTTTCCTATTAATATAGTCAATTTTGGCCTCCTTGTTCACCCTAACTTTGACATGTGTGCCATCCAAAGCCCCGATGCATTCATCGAAGAATGGTGCATATGAGCCAAGTTGCCAATTCACTCCAGCATAACTGCTGTCTGCTGGAACAAGAACAGAGTGTGCCCACCAACACATAACCTCGGTGACATGACTAATCTTCCTACTAATTGTATCCAAAGACCGTTCGAATTCATTGCTGCTCCTTCTAGTTGCCAGGTTGTGCGCACAAGTCCACAAATAAATACCTAAACATTCTAGGGGTCCTGTCTCTCGTGTACCCTTCAAGCCAAACCCAAGTAAAATATTATGCAAATGCAACAAGTTATCAGGAGACATACGCAAGTTGTCCAAGCACTTCCTTTCGTTTCACAGATTGACTTCCATCCACTGCTGTCCGGTCATCTTCTGGAAGGGGAGGTCCGGCTTCACCACGGAAGCCTCATTGGCTATTGCAGCTTTGTACTTTGCAAGCAGTAGAGCAACAGCTGCCAAGGGTAAAATAAACGATCCTTCGCTTGAGTTGTCGCTGGTAGCGGATTCCTCACTGCTATTCATCTATAAAACCAAGATTAAGTCCGAAATTATCAGGCAGTGAATATTAATGCAACTTCAAACTAGAATGCTAATGATTCAGAACTCATATCATACATATGGCAAAGTTATTCACATTTGAGACACATATAAATCTAAAATAGCCGAAGACAGTGGTATCATCTGTTTTTCTCATCTACTGCCTCAGTTGACAACACAAGATAGCCTAGAAAAGAAAGGGAGTGACATATGCTGCATATGTGTAAACAAATGTACAGAATGCTTCGTACCTTGCGACTTCGTGGTGGCTACAACAACTACTTCTTTTGAACATGAAAAACCGAAATGTTTGTTGGACAAACCAAATAACCACACACAACATATTTATTTGGGTACTTGAAAAAAATAACAAACAATGTTCAGGCCACATGCCACATTACAACAAGGTAACTTTAACAAATATTCTAAGCGACAAAATAAAACTAAACATCAATGTAGTAGAAATATAAACAACAGAGACTACCATAGTAGGAGGGCTGTTTCGGTTAACATCTACTTGGATCTGGATCTCCTATCATCCCAGTAGATCTTCTAAATTTGAGGCGGCCCTCTTTGGTTTCCATGCTGAGGAAGTTTCTACGGTCCAGTGTGTCCTTGCAAATTATTAAAGCCTCAGTATAAACATCATTAGTCTCTTCCACACCATCTTCTTTCATAATCTTCACCACTTTGTTCATCTCCTCTTCCTGCTTGTTTTTACGGGCCTTCTGGAGCTTATGGTCTTTAATGAGGTCAGTAATGTCGTTCAGGCACTCATCAATGGAAGCATTCTTCTTACTGC